CTAAGCACCGAAGAATCAGTCTAATGCCCGTTACCTCCAAGCTGTTAACATCCATTCTACTCCGCAGACTAACCCCGATTCGAGAATTGCGATCCCGCGAAGAACAAGCTGATTTCCGCTCCGGTTGATGGTGTGTAGACCACTTGTTTACGCTCCGTTAGCTCTTTGAACCGCATCATCTTTACCGCCAGGCCCCACTATCGTTATTTTCTTGCACATCCGAGCCACTTACGACTCCGTCGATCGGCCAACTTTATGGCGTTGCTTACAAAGTAATGGAGTACCCGAAAAGTATATCGCCATGTCTCGCAATGTCTCAGATAAACTTAGGGCTTATGGTAAGCTCTCATCACCTTTTGCCGTCAATAGCGGATATATATATATATATATATGTATATATATATATATGTATATATATATATCTTATCAGTAGTCTATAAGCTAGACATAGAGCTAGCGAAAATCATGAAACTGAACTAATATAACAGAGACCACAAATAAAAGAATGGAAGTTGCAAAAAGCTTTTGTTTTGTATATTGTCTGTTCTTTTTATTTTTTCACACGCCGTTTTATCTTTTTTTTGTTAAATGTTTGCGGTGTAACTAAAGGAAATCAAGACATATATATATATATATATATATATATATATATAGTACCAAATTGTGTAAGTTATTGAGAAAAAGGTTTGGTGTTGCCACCCAAGAGTATCGAGCTGACACACAAATCCCTTCACCGTAGGTCCCTAAACAAGGTGATCTGGAAGAGAGTTCCACCGTTCTATAACTCGGCGAGACAAACTACTTTCCGCCCTAATCCGATCACAACGCGGTTTGTGCAGCTACAATGGCTGATCGCTGAGACTAGGTAACTTAGCGGGGCTAAATAGCCAGGACAAGTCCGGGTCGACTTTTCCCGTCAAATTACGTTAAATGAGGATCATGTTCCCTCTAGGTCGCCGGTAGTGCGCTGAGTTCATTCCCAAGCTAAACGGACGTTCGGGGTACGTTTGCCCCCGTCGGCCCTGCACAAAACTTGTACCCACTCGTAAAACCCTCTCCAGTCCCATTTTATCCCTTACAAGACATAGTGAATAAGTCTGGATATAGTATTCTAAGTGGGGTCGCCCAAAAGTTGAGAAAATCTTCAAAAGCATATCGGCCATTCGGTCACCAAATGAGCGGCGAATAAACCACATAACATAGAACCCATTACAAGCTGCCTTTTCCCAATTGTTCCCAGAGGGAAGGATTGAGTTGTGGCCGACACCTAAATCAAGCTGCTGAGTGACAACAGGGATTTCACTTCCTCCGACAATCTATAGTGTGCGAGGAGTAGCAGCTCCTATTCGGAGAATAGAGCACTTATCCCGATTAATAGGCATCAGCCATTAGATGAACCATTCTCCTAGAGCTTATTCAAGGCACTCTGGATTACTGCAGTACCCCCAGAGATATCCAAGATATTCCAGAGCATAAGTTAACCAGCAAACTTAGCGTTGCGACTCTAAGAACCCTCGGCAGGTCATTTACATAAATCACGAACAGCATCAACAGTGACGGTTCATTGGTGAAACACTTTCTTTGGATAAGTTTGTGGCACTATGGCTTACGAGGATACCTCTCTCACCAAAGTATAGAGGATGCGGCCCTAGAATCCTAAAACTTGTAGTTCAGTCAGAGCAAAAAGCAACGGATGTTTTGAATCGATGTGGGAGAAATTGGAAAAGTCTTCCTTCCGAACTTCGGTTAAAGGTCGCAGAAGCTTTGCAAAAGTTCAAATAGCAAAGCACCTGAAGCAACGAACGTACCGACAATGATACAGGAGCTTAACTTGACTGCTGCTTTACTTGACTTTGACGTAGGTCTAAACGAAGATTGGGATGCACCTTGGCCGAATCAAGTTTCAGATGAAGTATCATTATCACATCAAAAACGAGTAACTGCCGACCTCCCACCGGTCGGCAACTTCCCACACTTGACCCTTTTAGCCCTCTGTGGGCTCCTAGAGACCGAGAAACTGTCCTGCTTGTATAGGAATGCTCAAGGTCTTTTTAATAAACTGGCTGAACTGAAAGATCGCTAAGCTTCCGGGTCATATGATGTCATTGGTATCACCGAGACATGGTTACACAAGAGAATAACGGACGCTGAAGTTTCGCTACCGGGCATGTCGCTGGTCTGGAACGATAGGCTCACAAAAGGAGTAGGGATAATTCTGTATTACCGAAGCGACTTACAGTGTGAAGCGGTGGAGGACTCAGTCTCGTAGTTCCCCGACTCTCTTTGGTGCCGTTTGCAGCTAAAAGGCAGAGACGCTTGCCTTATTGTCTTGGTGTACCGCTCTCTCTGACTCTACACCCGAGACGGACTGCCACCTAGCGGCTGCTTTAAGATGCAGTTTACCACGAAATTACAATCACATTTATCATGGGTGATTTCAACGTACATTGTTTACAAACTCCTATCACGACCTACTAGATCTCGTAACCAATGTTCCTCTTTACAATCACATCACTTTGCCCATTCGGTTTAGAACAGGTAACAGACCATCTGTGCTAGATCTTGTGCTTACCAACGATGAGCATATGATTGAGGTGTTGGTTGTAGACCGCCCGTTTGATCGCAGTGATCATGCAGTCAACAGTTTCAACTTCGTCTGCTAAGCGGAATATCGGAATGAGAAGGATGAGACTCTGCGCACCTCCACAAGCTACAATCGATTAGCCCAGCTCGTCAGCGCTAAAACTTGGTCGTTCCTTAAAGGAGAGCCCCCGGAAGTCGTCTGGCTCGAGTTCGTCAACAAATTCAGTCAGCTGATTGCAGAGGCTTCAGGGATAAGAGTTGGCAATGAGTGTAGATCAGTTTGTTTCGTTAGGAGCAAAACTCGAAAAGGGATGACAGTACGCAACGCAGCATGGCGAGTGTACAGAGAAGCTACAGCACAAGAAACTTGGGACAACTATGTAGTCCAACGTAACCACTTCACTCAACTGCTAAAAGAAAACAAAGCCGTATATCAACAGAACATCGCAAAAACCTTCAGTGCTAACCACAAACTGTTGTACAAGCTTGCCAAAGGCCTACGAAGGATGAGACAAGGATTTTCTCCCGTCGGGATGGCTTCTGGCCAAACAAGGACGGCTGTGGAAGCAGCAAATGCGATGCGGATGCAATATGCCCCAAGTTTCAGAGGGTCTTGCCATTAAACTATCTTCCAACCTTTGTCGTCTTCTCGCCTTTGCCGCGGAGGCTGCGTTGCAAAAGCTGGCGTCTCTACGTAAACGTGTCTCGCTGGGTGTCGATACCATTCGTCCAGAGCCACTGGGAGCAGCAGCAAGCCAACTGGCATGACCTTTAGCTCAGTTTCTCCAACGCTGCTTAGACCAGAATCAAGTTCCCGCCATGTGGAAGCTTGGTAGAATAACCCCGATTCACAAAGGTGGAAGCAGAACTGATCCCTCCAACTACCGCCCAGTATCCCTTCCTCCTATACCGTCCAAGATGATGGAATCTGTAGTTGCCGATGCATTAATGTGTTAACTGGAAAACTGTAACCTCACCACGCCTGAGCAGCCCAGCTTACGCCGACAGCGGTCATGCACAACGACTTTACTAATCGCACGCAGTAGTGGGACCGAGTCAGCTGACGTTGGAGGCGTTGATGTGATCCACCTGGATTTTTCGAATTCTTTTGCTTTTCTAGACTATCGGCTACCACTCTCCAAGCTCCAACCTTACGGGATCGATGAACTATTTTCTACTTCAACGGCAATTAGTGGTAAGAGTTCGAAGCGCTTTATCTGACCCATAAAAGTCGATTGTGGTGTTCTGCAAGACCCAGCACTAGGTTCACGTTTGTTTTTAGTCTTCCTTAATGACCTTGCACAGAGGATCATTCAACCTTCATGATGTTTGCCGACGATATCAACATTTGGAGCAGGATCCAGGTTAACGCCGACCAGCATCTGCTTCGGAGTGATCTAGCTACGGTATATCAATGGTCAACCCAAAATTTACTGCATTTCAACGTCAGGAAATGCAAGGTACTTTCCATCTGACATCAGAGCAGCTACTCATACCGGCTCGGAACGAATGTCCTGCAACAATCACCTGTCGAACGTGACGGATGTTATAGTTCAAGATGACTTGGGGTGCTTCAGGCAATCCGGAAAGGGCTCGAAGATTGGAAATCAAAACGTCGGGCTGCTGCGACGGACATATTTCGACAAATGCTCAGTGCGTTTGTTCGCCCCCATGTCAAATACGCAATTCAAGCCTGGCATCCATGGCTGAAACACGACCTTAATGAGCTGGAGCAGCCGCAACTTCGGGCATCTAAGAAAGCAATTAGAATGCGTAATCTTTCATACTAGGAGAGACTGCAACAATTGGGGGGTATTCAGCAGAAGCTATCGCAGACTACGAGGCCACCAGCTTATGGCATACTTGATTCTGCGAGACCCACATCATGTGCGCCGCTTTTTACTACAACTCAGCAACTATGCAAACATGAGGAGCCACTCATTGAAACTCGCTGCATAATATAGCCGTCTGGAGTGCCGCAGAAATTTCTTTTCCATTCGTGTCTGTCACCTGTAGAACACTCTCCCAAAATCGGTCGTCTCTGCGCCGACACTAACAGTAAAAGCCGGTTGGATGATGCACTCACCCATCTACACTATGTCACTTGGCACTACGTCTCCATTCTACACCTGGAGATTACCATGGATTTATTTGATGTTAACCGTGAGTGTTGTGAATCTAAGCGGATTGCAGAACTACAGGGGAGCAAACGATAAGTACTTATTTTCATATTTAAAATACTAAGTTTTATTATTATTAATATTATTATTATTGTTATTATTAGTATTTCGATATCCCTACCAACTATCCAACGGGACTTGTAAAACACCGCTTCTTAATCCGTATAAAATCCTTGTGCATTGTTCATTGAACCATTTGGTAATTCCTCTACGTAATAAGTAGACCATAAAACTCACGGTTGGAAATGTTATAACGATTTGGCTAAAACGGGACTGCAACCGCCGTGAAATAACCGTACGGCCCCCACCAGGTGGTCCCATGGCGGCCAGTAAATCCATCATCGTCACACGCCGGATGGTCTGTTTCGATCTATCGTACCAGAACTCGTAGTCCAGCCACTGTCGAACCAGCTCTAGTGGAGGTTGTGAGCCGAAGGGGTCTTTGGCCGGCATGTTGAAGTCGTCCATAAATGTGAGCATACGTGTGCCACCGATCGGGACGAACGTGTCCTTCGTACGCTTTTCCACCCGGCCCTCTATGATACTTTGCACGTTGTTTGAGGATGTCTGTGGAATGGAAAATGGAAGGAAAGCGATAATTCCCGAAAGGTACGATATCTGTCGTGAATTGCAGCACACCATTGCTTTTAATACCTTTTCCTTCAGCAGAATTCGGTGTATAAACAACGCACATAATTATTTTTAGAGCGTAGTGAAAGCAGTGCCTTAGATAGCATTATAAGAAGATTCGTACTTAAGAACCATTTCCCGTGAGACGGGAAGCAGCCAATGTTTAATGACAGTGTAAAGATGTTCAACATGTGGAGCGGTATATTTTCCCCACCTAGCCTTCTAACTGCAGGGAATGCCATCAGATACCGGTTGGAATGTCGGTTTTTTTATGCAATGATCATTTGTGTCCTTTAAACGCAGGGGAATAGAATAGAGTACCTATTCCATTTTACTTGGGAGGATATGGGAGGATACAGATGATGCAGTGTTAAACGAGGCGGTAAAGGTGGAATTCATTGAATCGTCTGCTGCCGTACCATCGTTCATAAGCCGGCTAAAATTTTCCTAGTTTCGTTTCGAATTTCCTCAGATTAACTACATCATGGCACGAACTTTCTCTGTGTTCCTAATGGCTCATATTTCCTCGTCAATTCTAGACTGTTAATGTTAGTGTCCACGTTTCAGTATGATCTCGTGTATTTGGATTAATGTGGCGGTCTTTGCTTTTACAATGCAGTGATCACAAGTTCTTTAACCTGGAATCAACTTTGTAAGGGTGTTTCCATTGGCCGTCAAAGGGGTCTGTGTTTACCGTCGACGTAAGTGCTAGAATCGCCGTACACTTGATGATATTTGTCGTGCACCTACGCGCGGCAATAGCCGAATCCGCTGTGATGAAGAATAAGTCCTCAACACACGGTCCTAAGTAGCTTGTCAAATGTGCTCCAGTAATCAAACTGTAGTTAGCGTACTGGCTTACTTATTGTTCTGGACTCTTCCGATGATCTGATATTCATGCTGCAGAGCACCGTATGGTGACCACATCCTATTAATTGGTCATCAATTAATACACAAACAGATGGAATGCCTATGGTGAAAACCAGATCAAAGATGCTACCTAACCTGGTAAGTTGCTTAAGGTGTTGAGTCTAACCATTGATACAGACACATTGGATTCTTTCCACAAACCCTGCAGTTGTCGTAGCCCTATGCGACATCCAGTTTATATGTGGCAGCTTGAAATCTCCGCATAGGAACCTGTACTTGGGTGGACTGTTGTAAGCAACGTTACTGGCAGACATTATCTGCTGAGATTCATGGAGAGTGGCCTCAGGTCTATAAATGCAGCCCAGTGGCAGATCAGAGGCCGGAATAGTCAAAAATAGTTAACCGTCCAAGTAATTGCAAACTAGTTGTTCAGTCGGGATTGATGTTATGGTATGGTGTATGTAGATGGAACATCCACCACCGCGTTCGCGCAGACGATCCTTACGAAACAATTGATAACGCGGGACATTTAATTCAAAGCCACATATAGCTGATGTGCACCATGTTTCGGTGATGCAAACAATGTGAGGAGTTTTCAGCAACATAAACGTAGTAAGGAGATCCAGTTTGGGTATTAGCGAACGAAGATTTATAATGGCGGAATTATGAGAAACGAATGAGGTAGGACGCACAAATTTGGTTATATCACACCCTCTATCTTCATGGACATGAGCGGTGTGCCGCGTGAAACAGCTGGGCTCTGTTGTGCGCTACGTTGTACTGGATCCAGAGAAGGAAATACTCGAATAAGTGGGTCATCACTGGGTTCTGTATGGTCGTATGTGCAGGCCCTATTAGTGGGGGCGGATGCTGGCCTAAAAAGGGATCGCTTGATAAGTGATGAGACTGTTCTGTAAACGGAAGCGGCGGTGGAGGGTATGCCAGAAACCAAGCCTGCTATTAGCATATACTGTGGGTTTTAGGCAGTATGTCCCACACGTCTCTTCAGCTCTCAGATAAGATGCTTCCTTACTCACTTATAATATTGACTTCTCTGGATCGGAGAGATAGATAGCAAGAACTTTTATGGTGGTGGGTATTAGGTCAGTTAGCTACTATTGATGCCAAAATCGCTTCCGATATCATATGCAGAAGTGCGATAGCGTACAGTTTTCCTCAGCGGATTTAATGAATGTTTATCATATCCTGATGAATGTTGTTTAGGTGTTATCTGCTGTTGGGCATCCCCATGGAGTATTCTAGGAATGCGGTGTTCTGCAATGTCATTTGTTTCTAGCTGTGATATCCAGTTAGGGTTAGTTCATTCGAATTTCCAATATCCTTAATTTCACACTTCCCAGTTCGGTTCTTAATTGGTGTCACATAATCAACGGGCTGGTTGATTGTGGAAGGAGCACATGACATGGCGCTAATTTCTGCAAGGTTTATAATAGTACCGACATGGTTCATGTGCCCAGTATCCTCGGGCCAGACTGCGTCATCATTACCGTGCAATGATATTTCGTGGGTGGGTTGGTGGACCTGGTGTTGATGAGAACATTTAGATAGAGGCGTTGTTGGTGATCTGCCAAGGTCCACATTGTTGTCAATGCCATTGGTGTAAGTGTGAGAAATATGAGAGCCTGAATGATTCTCCTTACGTGTAAACAGCCTCTGTAGTGGCGTTTAGTCGCTTCCCATCAAAGTGCTTTTAAAATCAGTTTGTGCCGTAATGAGCCGCTTGTTTTGTACGAAATGTTCAGCTGTTGCCTCATCCGCGAAGTTAAGGAGAATGGGGCACGATGCATTGTCGCCTTCTTCTGGAGCCTGATACATAGACAGTTGGAACAACTCTTATTACATGCCGGAAGCAAAATATTCCTGACTATACCCAATCTGTCAGGTGTGTAGAATATAATCATTAATTGATCTACGTAATCATACATATATATGATACATAATCTGCGGTACAGACATTGTGTCATCGGAATCATGGCAGAACAGTTTTTGAAATGCTTTTCAGTTTGCTTTTTTAGGAGAAGGAAGGAGGTAGACCGCAACACACCGATGCACAAGTCCGCCACGGACATCGATCTTGAGCCATAGCTTCCAAGGTCTTCAAACAGCATGTATCCGCATCTCTCGAACTCCAACCAGGTAGTCGATAACAACCGGCCGAAGCCAACTGTTTCGTCAGCTTTTTCATGCGGCTTCTCCAAGTTACAGGCTGTCCACCAGACCGTCTCTTCCAGCCTTGTCCAGCAACCGCAAACAACGCACGACGCGGGTAACACTGGACAGGCATGCGCAATACGTGTCCCAACCACCGCAGTTGATGCAGTGAGATAAGCTCCTCGAACGAGTGGCTTCCACGTCCCAAGATACGCTGTCTAACTTCCACATTGCTTACGTGGTGCCGCCACCACGGGCAATGAACCTAAGAGAGCGGTGCTCGAAGACGAATAGCCTGCGCAAGTCATTTTCACGAATGGGCCAGGTCTCGCATCTGTACAACAGTACAGCACGAACAGTTGCACAATAGACCCGCCCTTTGATGGAGAGACGAATGTCGTGGCGACGCCACAAATGCCTCAGCTTAGAAAAAGCGAGGCGTGCTCTCGAGATGCGCATCGAAATCTCGTCTCTAACAGCCACGCCAGCAGTGATGCAACTTCCAGGGTGGAGAAAGCTCTTCACAACCTCACCAGCAAAAGTGAGTGCAGGCAGAGGCACCTGCCAGTCTTGGAAGAGAGCATTGCATTTGGTTGGCGAAAAGTACATACCATACTTTGCTGCTTCAATCGCCAATCAGTTTAGTGCAAGTTGGACGACCTTTGGATCGTCACCCAGCAAGACGATATCATCAGCATAATCCAAATCAGCAACTCGACTACCTGAGAGGAGCTAAACGCCAGCATTCAACGAATCGCCCAGAGGGTTCTTTAGGACATCATCAATGGCAAAGTTGAACAGAAACAGAGAGATAGGGCATCCTTGTCGAACTCCACTGAGGACCACAGGGGAAGGCGAAAGCTTGCCATAAGCCCTAACTCTGCCCGAGGTCAGACCATAGAGAGCGCGCAGTATGGAGACGAACTTCTCGGGAAGGCCATTCCTCAGCAGGCAATGCCACAGTACTGTACGATCGACATAATCGAAGACTGCACGGATATCCAAGAACACAGCAATCGTTGGCCACTAATACACGTGGAGGAGCTCGAGGATGTGGCGGAGTGTGAAGATTTGATAGATGCAGCCGCGACCAGGGCGAAACCCAGTTTGTTCTTCTCGCTGCAACGATTCGCGCGTTGGGGATAGCCTGCGAAGTATGATGGTCACCAGCAGCTTGCAAACGACGGGGACTAATCTTATGCCTTTGTAATTGGAGCAGGTTGTGTGCAGGCGCTGTATGAAGACGGGGACAACTATCGATTCGCCCCAAGATGATGAAACTTCCTCTTTCGACCAAACTTTCAAGAACAAAGCAGTGTATTCTCGAACCAGCGAATCGCCACCATTTGTAAATGGACTCGGCGGAAGACCATCAGGGCTGCATGCTTTATAACGCTTCATGTGCCGGAGCTCCTGCTCGATTTCCTGGTAAGAGGGAGGATCTGGGAGTAGACCATTCTGCCGCAGTGTGAACGCCACAGGCAGCAGATGGAGCTGAGGGCCAATAAAACTGCGAGCCAAAGTGTTCGGCCCATCGCTCCAACCGTCGTTGAAGATTAGTGATAAAGGTGCCATCATCTTCGCATATTGTTTCACTTATGCCAGCTCGAACAACTTCGGTGACTCGAATGATATGGAAAAGTTTTCTGGTATTACCAGAAAGACTAGCAAGCTTCAGTTCTCTGGCACGTTCACACCACCAAGCTTCGCGGTCCATTTGCAGACACCCTTGCGCAACTCTTGATCCAGGGATTGACGTTCTTCACTGTGTCTTGGATCCGACGGGATCAAGCGGAGTTTGTCCATCAGCGACAAGGAGACGGCGGAAATCCAATGCTTCGATGGGTGACGGGTAACTCCACAAGTGTCGATACTGGCGGAAACTAAGACATCTT